CTAACGTTCAAAGTACTAGACATGTGTGCACACATAACCTAAGAATTCCTTAAAATCCTACCTTAAAAAACTATGAAAAATGAAATACAAAATACATTAAATTATGAGCTTTAATAAACTTAAGTTCACTTAAACATCTTTTTGAACTATAAATGTATTCACAACTAGCTCTTAAAAAGTATTTGAAATTAATTAGAAATTCAAACAAGATCATGAACAAAACATTGTAATAAAAAGATTAACAATTGAAACAAATTAATGTTAACATTAACATAAAAAGTCATTTAATCATTATACTAAAAAGCTCGTTATACAGGAGTATAAGGTCAATAATGGCATTGCTAACAAATCTTTATGCTGGTACTACACGCAGGAAACACGCTTCGTTATATCTCTTATCTAACAATCAACTATCTAATATATTTAATCAACACAAATTGTAAGATTTACAACAGAACTATGAGTATGACTACAGGAATAAAAAAAAAAAAGAAAGTATTCACAAAGAAGGTCAGGTTGATTCCAAAAGTTGCATTTGCGGTAACACATAATTATTGTGAACCGAAAAAAATCCATGCAATTAATCTTTCAGATAAATAGCAAAATTAGAATTATATTATCATTTCTATATAAAAATAAATGTGTATTTTTAGATTTTAATCATTTGCTAATTTCTCTTCTTATACTACGTTGATGAAACACTAATCAATTAAACATTTATGAAGTCATACTTATGTAACATTGTTTCCTTAGTTTTATTTATAGAATAGAAAAAAAAGTAAGACACCTAGTATATATAAGTTTATAATTAGTACATTAATAATAGTATATATTTATTCTTTTAATTTCTCATCGGTTAAGTAAAGGTGTGATCGTGAAATATAATTAATTGGTTGAGGTAAAAGCACACAGTATAATTTAACGATAACGTTTATGAACTACTTAGTTATACATGTGTACATGTATATGTGTATGTATATATATATATCTATGTATACACGTATATATATATAATATTATATATTTATATGTAGATAAATAGGAAAGATCGTTACGTCACGTTCTAGCATGTACATACATTTCACAATCCTAACACGGTCTCGGAACTATCACGTTTTCTTGGTTTATCCTTTTGAAGGATCTACAGGTGTATTAAATGAGAGCTCGATGTCCCGAGGGATAAAAATCTTGGCGGCAGTCACAGCTCGTTTACGCGGATATCTCAAGTGAATTTCGGTTACAGCTCGTTTGCGCGATCCGACAGCCGGTCTTTTATTATTTCCCTTTATATGTGTATATCTATGAATGTAAATATGTATATATTATTATTACACGTGTAAATGTACAGGGTGGTATAATCTTACTCTGATCAATTATTTTCTAATTTTTTATTTCTCTGGTTTTATCAACGAATTAAAAATTTTTTTTCTTATATTAATATTGGGTCGAATCATTTTTATTTATTTTATTTTTATTTAGTATTTTTATTTAGTTCGGACGGCTATAGCCGTCATTTGCGGCAACGTGTTAAAAAAGAAATATTATCGTATAGTTTATACGTACACCCTGTACATATGAACGTAAGAGGAAATGACGTCGATTTGTGATACGGTAAGTTCCTTGTCTATCCAGGTGTTTTACCGAGTCGGGATCGAAATTGCAGGCTCGATGGTTGAAGGATAACATTGTACGATCGCGATCCCCCAAGAAGATCACAGAGAGTCTCTTTTATCGACGTCAGGTAAGAAGGCGTAACAAGGTGGTTCAATTGAATGTCCAGAATCGCGGAACTACAGAAGCGTGCCGCTCTTTTGCTTCTGTATATCAAACGAATACAACACGGCGGCGTGACTTTAGTCATATCGCTCGTAAAACATCCACTTTGCGATCTGGAACAAAATTCCATTCCGTAATATACTCAAACGATAGAAAACCAAAAAAAACAAAAACATAATGAAAGATTTGGTTTAATGAAATACGGCTAGTTTCTTCTATTTCCGTTTTAACATCCAAATCATTTCGTAATCTCACACTTTCTTGAGAAAACTACCTTGTAATATTAAGATCGAACGAAAAATTTGTTCGACCAATTGTAAAGAGGAAGTCGAGTGTTTGAAATAAACGATTAATCATTTCATATATATATATATATATATATATATATATATATATATATATATTTTTTTTTTTTTTGTAAATAACGTGAGTAGGAAACGTTGATTACATGTTTTCAAGATAAATATTACGAATAAGAAATTTAAATAGACGATTAACTCCTTAAGTTGCACGCTCGAGTTAATTCGAGCAACGTTGTATTATGTTAAGCCAACATTGTTCCTTAAAGGGTTAATCATTTTACACATT